CCTGGCCTTGCAAGATGTGACGCAGCTCGAGCCAAGCATCGACTACTATCGGCTGCCAGCCACATCACCGTGGGCGGTGTTTCGCACCGGACCAACTGGCAAAGCGCGTCGGTCGGGGGCGCAGAAAAGAACTTTGGAGCAAGCGCATGACACGAAGCCATGCGAAGACATGCCGACGGAGCTCCGAGCCGAAGCCAGCCCGTTGCCGCTGACATCCGGCATGGTGGACCAAGAAGAGCCTTCGCTCGGGGCAGGAGACCGGACGGACGAGCATGACGACAGGAACAAGGAGTGAGGTGGAGCAGCCTCACGGCACAGGACTCGTCGGAATGACGAGGGGACCTATTGAAGCCTGTTTCAGGAAAGACCAATGCGGCCCGCGCAGAAAGACAGCCATGCCACTAGGACCCTCACGGATAGATCATGCAAGCACGAAACATGAGTGCCGCATCACATAGCATCGCCGCAACGAGTCGCCTGGTTCTGCCACCCAGGGCCCGAGCAGCTGCCAACGAGCCATGTTGGTTTTCTCGGGCAGACAGGCCTGGGCGGACGTGCAGGAGCCCAGACTCGAACACGCAGCCACGTTCGCGCGATATACTGTGCCGTTGCAGTCAGGACCACGACAACGCCGACGAGGAGGGGACGCGGCATGCTCGGAATGAATGTGCTTACCTCAAGCAACAGACGGAAGCCCTGCAGACACTGCAGGACCCGGCGGCCGGCGCACCGCCGAGGCAGGATCACTTCGAGAATCAAGGAGGACACCGTCGCCACCTCGTCCGACCGAAGCCAGTATTTACTTCGAGTAGACAATCTCACGCCGTGTAATTAATGCTACGATAGCTGAATGCAAGGCAGCAGCGACCTACTCTCCACGCGAACGACACGCCCAGATACAGAGTCGCCGCTACCATGGACGTTGGAAGGCCGTCATAACGGCACCGAATACAACGGCACGACGGATGCCGCAGAAACGACTCTCGACACCGGTCAGCCGCTCAGTGCAGTCCTTAAAGCCGGATTGCAGGCACCAGCACGATCATGCACAAGAGACCGTACCCAGGCGAGACGCAACTGAATCTCGAGCTAGCAGAATTCGTGCAAAGCGCCCTGTCTCGTCGCTGGGGGCCCGAAGCACTGCAGGACTGGCAAACCAGCATGCAGCGCCGCTGCCTCCGGCATCGTTTCCCTTGTCGACTCTGGTATGAGTTTATCTACGAATGGCGAGTAGAAGCGGAGCCAGCAGACCCACACACCTCGACCGGCGTCGGAAATCCGACGGTGCCGGGCCCAGCCGCGACGTCGTCAGCGCAACAGACGCTGTGCGACATTCGAGTACACGCAGCGCCCATCATCCTGATAACATCCCAGCCGACCACGGCAGAACCCGTCACAGGGCAGCTGTCCGTACAGATTCGTAGACTGTGAGATAGGACCGTGGGAAAGTGGAGAGGTAGCAGACTTCAACATCGCCGTCCGCGCTGGCAGAAACAAGAATCGTGGTCGCAACCGGCATCTGAGCATCATACAGAAGCAGCTGCAGCCATAGGATCATCAGGAGCGTTTAGTCCGGAGCGCACACCATGGCCATTCTCCTGTATTTTCTGGAAGCGGAGTGCGGCGTGCTGCTACGGCGGATGCTGACGCCAGCGGAGGTCCTCCTTCTGCTGCAAGTCAGCAGGTCCTCGAACATGAGAAGACTGGCGTGGGCCCGAGCCGTTCTGGCAGATGTGGCCAGGCTACGCAGGGTCCTGGAACCCTTGAGGACCATGCGACTGCGTTTCCCCGGCTTCGATCTCCCCGTGAGCATCAGATGCACGAAGGGCTGGACTCCGCCAGATCCCTCGGACCCACTGGAGACCTTGGGTCCCGTCGAGGATCTGCTCTATTGGTTGGACGACTTCGGGCTCGGAGGGTTCTCACCCGCCGAAGCGGTGCTGGTGATGAACGCGTGGCCGATAGAGACAAGGAACGCGGGCGCGGCTTTGAGCGACCTGCTGGAAGAATCGGACAGTCACTTCTTCTACTCGGCCAGGCCTGCCGCCTTCCGAAGGACATTCCGGCCCACGCTAGTAAACGTAGTCGTCTTTTTCACTTACAGAGGTCTGAACACCGTCCTTCAAATGCAAGACGTCGTCAATGACGGGTTCGACCCATAGACAGACAGTTGCCGGAGGGGAAGCGAGTCCGAAGCGACCCCGTGCGACAGCATTCCACGCGACAGACGAAAAGGAAGATAGACTATGCGTTCCAGGTGATGGCTGCAGGAGCAAATCCGAAGTCGACTGCATCCATCTGTGTCTGTTGTCGAGTACAGTGCATGTCGCAGCCGCTTCAGCGTCAATCAAGAAAGCACGCGCAGGCTCCACTCGGATCCCGTCGCCTTCCATGTCGGGCATCGACTACTCCAAGTGGGACCTCCTTCAAAGCAGCAGCGACGAAGAGGACTTCGGGAACCCCATCCCGCCGCAGTCTCCGCGACAGCCCATCACGACGGGTCCCTGGGCGGTGGCCGATCCCTGGCGCAAGTGCAATCCGCTGGTGCGACGTGAAGTGCTCAGAGAGGAGAAGATTCTCCACAGGTTCGTACAAGAGCACCCCTGTCCATCCGAGAAAAGCCTCCGGCGCTGGCTTCGCAGCATGAGCGGCACGGAGAGAATCGTTCCCGGAGAGCTGACCTTTGCATGGGTGATGAAAGACATGGGGTGGAACTCCGAGCACTTGGCGTGGTTCCACTACCCGTCCTTCCGGGAGCTCTGGCAGGCGGCGGCCTTGCAAACGGCCGAGGCCTTCACGGTCCAACGCAGTGCGGGCAGCACCTTGTACCAGCGCGGCGGCAAGGAGTGCATGCAGTTCAACTTCTATGCGCTGCAGCACGCCATGTGCGGAGAGCATTTTCACACGGACGCCCCACTCCCCGTGTACTCGTACGCGAAACGCCTGGAGCACGTCTGGGACGGGATCGGATCGTGGCGAGCGTAGTGAACCGCGCCTAGAGTATAGCTCGGCTAACAGACCAGAGCAGCGACGGCTGCCGCGAGAAGGCAGGCAAAAAGTGCACAGACCCCGATGCTTCAAGCAGTGAACATACCTACGGAGCGCCAGAGCCAAGTTCGGATTCGACGTCGGCCCGAGCCAAACAGAGATTCGACTAGCGTAAGCCGCCCGGACCCAGGACGACCACCACCGGCGACCTGGCATAGTCCAGCAAGCCTGCAGCTGCCATGTCGTACAGGAAAGACCACAAAGATGTGGAGCAGAGCACCGAAGACACCGAGGCGCGGACACGATTCATCCCGTTATCCATGTCTACATGGAACAGCATGCCTGTCTGCCAGGCAACGGATGCCTGCCAGAAAGTACGAGAAGTCCTAGGTGCACATCTCTTCCGACCATGGTGCAGCGCCAATGTGAGCAACTGGACCTATGCGGACGTTCCCGGCGCCTCGGAGATCGCGCCGGAGCAAAACCAGTGCCCATCGGAGGAAACCGTGCGTCAACTGCTGCCCGGCATATCCGAAGTGGACAAGACACCGGAAGGCTTCGACTACTGCATCTACCGACTACTGTGGCCGAGACGAGACTTAGCAGCACACACCGATCTGACCCGTCTCGTGACAATTTTCAAAAGCGTGATGGCAGAAGGAGGCCAGCGCAAAGCGTGCCTGTACATCGACCTACTGTACAGCACCGGGGCCAGTAGTGCGGACCAGCCAGAGGGGTCCGACCCCGCTATAGGACGACTACGGTACCGGGAGCGTCTCTGGACGGCCAGTCAGATCGCAGACATTATCCTAAAGACCATCTAGTTAGCGGCGTCAGCATTCCATAGGGCACAGCAGCTTCACCGTCTTCGCAGGAGCAAAACCGAGCGACCACCGCACCACACGAGCATCAGTCATGTAGCATGCACACTCTTCTGGCAGCTGTGGGCTCGAACCGGACACTTCGAAGTATACTAGAAGACCTCCCATTACCGGACCCAAGTACAGGCGGAAAGCAGCCATGTCGTTGCGCGACGTTCTTGCCAGCTCCAAAGAGAACGAGGACCCCAACGAAAGCCAGGCACGATCGAGCGCGGTGCTGTAGTTTTGCCTCCACGAGCAACCATGAATCCGTGCGATGCCCCGTCCTGTGCACCCGACAGGCCGTACGCTCTTTCCGATATCTGCAAGAGTTCCTGTCCGTGCACATGTTCCAGGCCTGGTGCGACGCCTATGTGGAGAATGCGACTTACTCAGACCTCTGCGAAGATCCGGATGTGGATCCCATAGAAACCGAGATGCCTACGGAAGCTATCATGCACCGGATCATCAGCGATAACGTCCCAGCAGAACATATGCGCAGAGCCTTCGAGTACAACTTCTTCGAGCTGCTCTGGCCCAAGCGGAACATCTCGTCGCTGGACGACATGACACGCCATGTCCTGACATTGGCAGCTCTGCTGGCTGAAGGCGGTCCCAACGCCGTGCGCCTGCACATCGATTTGGTGTATCGCACCCTACCGGGCGGCCCAGAATATCCCAACGAGCGCAGCCCCGTGGCAGCCCTGCGATATAGGAATCGCCTTTGGGCAGCCAGTGAGATCGCCAAGATCCTTCTGGAGAGCGTCTGAGACCATGTTGCCGGTTGTCCAGGGCACCGCGGCCTCACCCGATGCAGAAACAGACCGCAGCAAAAAAACTGGCACATGCATCGAGCAACACAGCTGGGCGATGTCGGAACTGCTGGCCATGATACTCGTTCGCCAATCCCCCTGCAGCCACTTCGGCTGCATGCGACACCGGACACTGATCCCTCCGCCTACGGTATGGCCTGCCCGACCAGTTTACTCGCCCTCAGTGTGTAAAGAGTTCGATGTTACCATGTCTCCAGGTCGCCACGACAGCCACGAGGCCACACTCTAGAGTAGCCCGTCGTGGCCAGCATAGACAACTCCGCACCAGTCCAGCTGCGTCCTGCCTGGACCTGAATGGGGCTGGAAGACTCGTGCAGCAATGGATTCTGTTGTCCTCAGCTTCCATGGAGTGCCAGGCGTTTATCCTCGACTCGAACGTCTGGAAGGCCCGCCACCGCTGCGCGTTCGTCCGCCACCTCCATGGGCTGCCAGGTCCCGATCCGCAACCCGCATGAAGTCAGAAGGCCCGCAGGCCAGCCGGAGCACCAGAACCGATACTCGGCCTGAACAGGCTTTCGTTCGCAAGACCTACGAGGCCAAACACTTCACGGCAGTTAATCCCAACCATGTTTTCGGTCTCGAGCTGTTGCGCCTGTCTCCCGTCGTGCTCGTCAGCCATGACTCCAAGTATACACGTGCACGCACACATGCACACACACACACACACACACACACCACGCACAGCAACGAATTAAGACCAAGCAGCTACTATGTACCTGCACCGGCCGGGAGCACGCCGAGCGTAAACCATGGCACCCTGCATTGGCTGCGGGTTTCCGCGAGTCGGCCGCGGAAGAGGCAGGCGCTCCATATCGTAAAAGAGTTGCTCGCCTGGCTGCATACGATCGAGCTGCTGCGCCAGGCTTCTGCACCAGGTTCGAATGCCGTCAAGCAGAGGAGCTGGAGAAAGAAAGGCAGAAAGAAGAAGCACGCGCCAAGAGGGCTGCCGCCAAAGCCGGCCACCGTGGGCCATTACCGCGTGCCGGAGGACGGCCCGAAGAAGAGAACAGCTGCAGAGCACAGCGAGCAGAACTGCAGTGGCAGCGAGCCGGAGTGGGAGGCGGCACGCGAGGACCTCTGCCAGGAGAAGGTGCTGGAAGACCACCCGAAGAGGAGAACAGCTGCAGAGCGCAGCGAGCAAAACTGCAGTGGCAGCGCGCCGAAGTGGGAGGCGGCACCCGAGGACCTCTGCCAGGAGAAGGTGCTGGAGGACGACCCGAAGAAGAGAACAACCGCAGAGCACAGCGAGCAGAACTGCAGCGGCAGCGCGCCGAAGTGGGAGGCGGCACCAGAGGACATCTGCCAGGAGAAGGTGTCGGAGGACGACCCGAAGAAGAGAACAGCTGTAGAGCACAACGAGCAGAACTGCAGTGGCAGCGTGCCGAATCGGGAGACGGCACTCGAGGACCTCTGCGAGGTGAAGGTGCTGGAGGACGGCCCGAACACAGAGGCGGGCACGGACCACCGTACCCCAACGAAGACAAACTGGCAGAGACCGACGCACAGAAGATGTACGAAGATTTCGTGGGAGGTTGGACGCGTTTCGGGTTGTCTCGAGTGTGCCAGTCGTGCAGAACCTTAACGCCGGCAAAACAATGCCGACCATCGGGCCCGGGTCGCACACTGACCTGCAGAAACTGCCTCGAGAGCAAGAACAAAATCCGCCTACCAGCCTTGCCATCAATTCCGGCAACACTACGAGACCTGAAGCCGATCGAGCATCACCTGCTCGCGATGGCGCGCATATCCCAAGTCGTCCTGGACAGGCTGCCTTCGGGAGGACCCAGTGGCCAATGGGGCAGAATGTATGCCGTCTTGATGCAGGAGCCGTGTATCTGCGATGTGCTCGAGGGCGCTGTCTTGGAGGAAGACGGCACAGTGAGTGTGCAGGGCGTGGACGGCCTCACAGCGTCTTCGGCCCGGTTGGAGCACTTGCGCAGCGCACTCCAGGCGCTACAGGCGCAGCACATACTGTATCGACACAATCCCGCCGTGCAGGAGGTCATTGACAAGATGGAGTCGATCTTGCAACAAAGGTCGTCAGATGTGACAGCAGAGCGTATCGTAGAGAATAAAGAGTCGCAGCAAGCGGAAGAAGAGGATGACGAGCACCAGTTCACCTACCTCGTGCCGAAGGATCCAAAAGTCCCCAGAGCTGACCTGAACGAGTTACGGCAGACGAGAGGCAGCGCCCAACTGGCCGACGACATCGACGTCAAGTTCTTCCCACATCTATTTCCGGATGGAACGAATGGTTGGAAGGACGCGTACAAGAGCTTCTCGCAGTATGCCCGAAAGCGACTGCTGGGACAAGATGGTCGCTTCGAACAATCCGCATCTTACATCATGTGGCTTCTGGAGACACAGCTGAAGAAGCGGTTGTCCGGTAATGTGAATGTCCGTGTGGGCTCGCAACAGAAGCCTGCGGGCTGCCAGGGCTACCAAGACGGGAGCCGACGCGTCTACACGGCCTTGCGCGACATCCCCGGCACGCAGCCTTACATCTACGCCAAGAAGGGCATCGCACTCAACATGTACGAGCAACTCGGACAACCACAGTTCTTCCTCACCCTCACGTGCCACGCTCGCCAGCCGGGCATCCTGGCCGCCGTCATCACTGCGAGATTGCTCCGCATGCATCCCGATCTCGAGCCC